GACCCTCAGATTGCGAGTCGAGTGCCTTAACCACCTGGCCATGCCGGGCCCTATCGCAAAAGTAATCTGACCTGGGAGAGTTCCAAGAAAATATCCCTGTGTTCGACAACTGTCATTTTTTAACAATAGCTTATCTGTTTTAGAACAATTTTGTTTAATCTTTTATCTTTATTGCAAAAGTAGTTTATCTTGAGAGAATTCTAAGAATCTATTCTCGTGTTTGAAGGCGGCATTTTCTAGAATAGCTACTCAATAATCTTGTTTCCAGATTCCTAAATAAATAAACAGAAATTCAAAGTTTCTTGTGTTACATTTTTTTGTTTGGATTTTGAACAGAACCGTATTATCTTATAGTTGACTTTTAGAACTTATCACAACTTAGATAGTTTTATCACACTTAGATTATACGTATAGTGAATGATCATAATTTAACACCAAGTTCTCTTATAGCTAACGTATTGTTAGGAATAATAGTATTTTCTTTTAAACCAAAAGTTTAATAACAATTTGTGGAAAGCAGTTTATTGGTTAATTTTAAACCGGAGCTACGTTTAAGTAGTTGTTGAGTTTTGGTTTTCATTCCATCCGCAAACATTTAATATATTCTCAATAAAGGCATTTTTCTGTGTACGAATTTGAAGGGTAACTTGATGTCTTCCTATATCAACTGGAGTGTTTGATTTATCAATATTTCATCTTTAAAGACTTAGGTAAAAAGGGATTTTTCTAACAGAACAATGTATAGAAACAAACCTGTGATACCAGTTGTTTTTAATAGCTTTCTTCTCAGAGCTGGCGAAAGATTTGGGAGTCCATTTAGGGTCAGTACGACGTACCTTCAAACAAGGTATTGTTTGTGTATCAATATGAGCAGGTATGACTTATTTACATCAAATTAATAAGAGTAACCTTTCTTCGGTTTCCTTTATATCATCATTCACCATTAACGTTACTTCACGCTTTAACTTGAAGAGGTGTGAAGTTCCAAAGTTTGTGAATCATCCTCTTTTACCGTCGATTGTAGAATTATAGGATAGAAGTGAAAAGGTTAGGTTAAGAAGGCTGTTTTTTGATTTGGGCCCAAGAGAGAGCCTCATGTACCGTATAATCTGGCTTATCGTTCACCTATCTTCCACCCCCTCCGTCAGACCGAGCGGCTCTGGGTCTCGTCAGAGTGACGAAATTCCGTCTGGAGATTATACCCGTACGAAGGGTGAGATTTTTCATTAGGCCAGCAGATCAGAACTCCTACGAATAAACGTTAGGTGTATATATATATATATATATAACGTTTATATAGTCTGTGTTTTGTTTTTTACACTGGTTTTTCTGATGTTTCGTCTAATATATATTATTCCCATCTTCTGTTGCTGGTGCTTTTATTCCTGTAAGACGTATAGTATAATGCGTCTTCATATGCACATACACGTGTTTCTATATGGTTGAACAAACTTGCAAAACGCCCCCGTGTGTGTGTGTGTGTGTGAATGTTTGTGTTATACATATATATATAACGATAGAGAGAAACGGGTATAACAACCCGCTCTTATATCGTCAAAAGAATACTTTATCCTGCTGATTTAATCCATTCGGTCTGTAATTCACAAACATTGACAAAAACTAATTACATTAATGTTCTTATTATTATAAAAGCACGAGACTACAATGTTCACAACTGAAGATAAATACCCCTTACGTTAGCGTTCGCCAGATAAAATCGTTCACAAAATGACAGCGGCAAAAACCAGCACATTATTTTATTCTCAAAAAAAGAAAATGTTTTCATACTTCTCTAAAAGATCATCCATAGATTAAGTTATTATATTTTGATATCAAATTGAAGTGAATACAATTTCGGAACTGAAGAAGGTTTTAAAATGTTTGTGTGTGTGTGTGTGTGCACGTTATCGTGAATATTTTGAAGTAATAAAACTAATAAACTAACTAATAAAACTTCTTTCACTCTAGTTTGCCCCCCAGTGGCACAGCGGTATGTCTGTGGACTTACAACGCTAGAATCCGGGTTTCGATCCCGTGGTGGGCAGAGCACAGATAGCCCTTGTGTAGCTTAGTCCATAATTAAAAAAAAACACTCTAGTTTGCCCCCCAGTGGCACAGCGGTATGTCTGCGGACTTACAATGCTAGAAACAGGGTTTCGATACCCGTGGTGGGCAGAGCACAGATAGCTCTTGTGTAGCTTTGTGCATAATTAAAAAAAAACACTCTAGTTTACAGTAAATGTTACATGAATTTGTGAATATTTAATTGTTTAAATGTCACTTAAACGTAGATGTGTGCGTATAAAAAAGAAACTCTTTCCAGCTCTTTCACGCCACCTGACGGAGAGTTCTTTAAGTTTCATTTTATGTGAATATATTTAGCTACATTGTGTTTGTATTGTATGCGTGCTTATGATTGGTTAATACATTTATGAATCTCGTTGTTCTTTGAAACTGTGGCATGATCTGGTGGTTTGGGCGCTCCACTGACAATCTGCGGGTTGCAGGATCGAATCCTGTCACCAAACATACTCGCCCTTTCAG